AGTAGTAGTAGTATATGTTGTTGTGTGTGTATATATATATATATATATATATATATGAGAGAGAGAGAGCCTCTACTGAATGTCCACAATTACTGCAATTATTTTACTAGTTGATTAAAAAGTGTAAATTAATTAGTCGGCTAATTAATCATAATGTATGATATGATTTTATTAGCTACATTGTAATTTCATCAACTCAAATGAATTTGATAAGATTCAGTATACATTGAAATCAAGATACAGCATGTAGAAAATATTTATCCAAGATCGATAGCTTGTATATGTTAGTTACATTTGGGTATGAATACGTGTCATTTCACATAGTATGTTAACTTTAAAAACTAAATATTGATTTTCAATAGTCATGTATACTGTCTGTATCTTTGGCTAAATTAGAAATATAACCATTGATCATTAATAGTTTTAAGTTTAGTAAAGCCATTATTTATTTATTTATCAACACACCAAAACAAACAAACAGTTGATAATTGTTTGGAGAATCATCCATTCTACTAATGTCTATCTTTTAATGTTAATCTAAACTGTTGTATGAACTTTTTTTAATTGCTTTCCTGTATTTTATGAATTCTTGTTGTTGTTGTTTTAGCATAAATTTATATAATAACACAGAACAGTGTAGCCAGTTAATTTTACTATTGATTCACAATCTTTCAAGATAATTAATGAGCTATTATCAATTTTAACATGAGGCAGTAATAAAAAAAGTGAAAATACAGCACATGTATGTAGTCATAGTTTCCATCACTTGAGTATGAGCATGTTCAGAGTTGTGGTCTCCAGCACTACAGTGTGTGTGTTATGTTAGTCCCACTGTACCACACATATGATGTTAGTAGTAAACTGCCTTGAAAGAGTGGTCCTTCAGTTTCTTTTTTTCAATAAACCAATTTCTAATGCAATGTGAATTTCTAGACAAAACATTCCATTTCAGATAATATCTTTACCTTTTAAGGCATTTCTTCACAAAGTTTGGTTTCATAAAATTGTAAATATTATTACTTAATACTTTTATATATTTTTTACATGTGCATTTTTCAATCAAGAATATTTATGTATGATAATGATTTTTTTTTCATTAGAGCCATGCTTAAAGATTACATTAAAATATTCCGAGCCCAGAGAAACAATAAGCTTAGTGGATTAACTATTGATGCAATTGTTGCTGGTGTTAGTAATGAAATTGAAAAATCCTTTAAAGACAGTGGTGTTAAGGTAAGTAAAAACCTTTAAAATTTAACAGAGTCCATGTAGATTGAGATTAGTAGTTCTGTAACCCATATCTTTCAATACAAAATGATTAATTGTTGTAGAAATCTGAAAATGTAAAAGCATTATTTTAATAACTAATTATATTCATGAGAGTATTAAAGGTGGACCTGTAGTTTTTTGGTTTCAAGTTTGAGTATCATGATTTTACATAAGCAATGTATAAACCTCCCTGGAAAATCAGCCAGCACAATTAGCAGTTTTCAATGTTTTATACAATTTTTTTTCTTTATACCTTAGTTACGATCATCAGAAAATTCTCATACCACTCCTTGTAAAGCGGCTTCTGCATCAAAACCACTAAGCTCAAATGGAATGGGACTTGACAAATTTGACAAACTGAAGAGTGCATGGATCCAGCCTAAAGACCAGCAGACATGTTGGTCAGGTGTGGAGTCAGAAGATAATATATGTGCTATCTGTTTGGAGAACATATCTGCCCAATCTGCTAAGAAGGTGGACTGTGGACACACATTTCATTCTAAGGTAAAGTGAACAGAACAAACAGTAAAATAAGTTTTCAACAAAAAGGGCATAAAAGTTTTTGACCTTGAGTAATGATTCACTTTTTGTGTTTTGTCTTGAAAACTTGACTTGTAGTCATAGAAAGAACACAAGATGTTAGATCTCTCCCTTTAATTCTTTCACAGTCTATTATTTCTTTGTATGATACTGTATTCAAGTTTCTCTCGCTTCCTGTTATTTATTTGGTGTGAATAATCATTTGATCAATATTAAATTACCTTGACTTTATTATCAATTCATGTATCTTTCTTCTCCTCTAGTTATCATCACAGCATGCTTCTGTCAACTGTACTGTACTGTGTCAATATTCATATTTACCATCAACATGCTTTTGGCAACAGTACAGTACTATATCAAGATTTTTCTTGATTATAACACATAGATACAAACATGTGTGCGTGTTAGGTGAAACCTGATGGTGAGCCAAATGTCACATTTAATTTAATAGTGATATCCATTATGTTGTGTTTCTTCATAGATAACTACATTAAACTGTGTTCTTTCTTATTGCAATTACTTTTCATTTAGTAGGTAAATTGAGGTTTCCTGTTAGTGAAACTGTTCCAAAATCCAGCAAGCTAGTACTAGTTTTTTTTTATATATATATATATATATATATTTGTGGCTGCTTTATTTTCTTATATTATGTAAATCTACTCCTGAGATAATAAGATACATATCATCAAGAAAATATAGGTGTGTTGAAACTGTTCTCATGATTGCATTTTAAAATTATTGTGAAATTAAAACATTTCAGCTCACATTGTTAGCAAAATTCATACTAGCCAGAAAAGAACTTCACTTTTTCAGCAATGTCATTAGCCCAGCTGGATTGATGAGCGTTAGGTATCCAAATGGCTTAGTTGGCTACTAAAGTTAGCTCCTTGATGTGTGTGTGAATCTCTTCAAGAGCTCCAAACTGGGTTATCCAGTGCTCCACTAGCACATCAGCCATGGTCTGTGTGGGCATATTGATCAATGAAAAAGCCTCAGCCTACTTTGTGAAGTCTATGTATATTTATATATAGAGGTACACACACTGTTAGACTCATTCATTCTCCAAAAAAGCTTGAGACTGATGAAAGCTGAGATTACTTGAAACACCAGTTATCAGCTGAATATGGTTGGGAGTTTGTTACTTAATAACACCACACCAAGATTTCAAGAATAAGAGAATATAAAAGTTTGTATAATATCTAAACATTATAATGTAAAGTACATTTAATAAAAAAAAGTACTGTAATAAACACCAAACTTTTAAAATTGGAAGAGCTCTTAAATGAATTTGTACAATCATGCTGGTGTTTTCTTTTCCCTCTAGTGTATTAAAGACTGGCTTGGAGAACAGAGCACGTGTCCTAGTTGTCGTGTGTACGTAGTTTTGGAAGAAGAGTTTCCATCTTTAAATAAGTAAAGCTGTATATCCAACCACTGTTTTATATGGTGAAATATGATAAAAACTTTTTAATTTTTCTCTTTCATTTTTTCAGAATGAACCAAACTATGGTGGTTACTTTTTGTGTCCAAACTTTATCGTTAACAATAGACATTTCTTATTTTTATCCATTATTGATGAGAAACTGTCAATCTTGCTGTTAACTTCAGTGTATAAAAAAGCTATAATAAATTTTTTAGCATACTGTGTGATCTTCTATTTTAGTGAATGTGAACTTCAATTTGCATAAAATTGTCTTTGTTAAATCAATATTATTTTTGCTTATATAACAACAAATATTTACTTTCACACAATAACTGAAACGGAAATTAAATAATTAATACTGAAGTAGCTGTAATATTTTTCTGTTTGGTACCAGAATTCTAACATCAATGTATTTTTTTCTATAAATAATTTTTTATTGCAGTATTTCTTTTAAAAATATTACAAGAAAAAAAAACTGGCTGCTCAAAATAATTAAAGAATAATTCAATTTGTAATATTGTATCTATGAAAAGGCAAAAACCACTGTTATAATGTTTGTCGGTCACTGCCTCAGTTCCTTATTATGAAAATCAGTTGTATTATCTGAGATACAAATAATTTGTCATTCACTCTGTACTACATATAAAGGATCCAATCTTGTCATACATATAAATTTGAAGTGAACCTCCAACTTTGCGTATCCTAAATTGCTAGATCTTGAAAATATTTGGATGTTTTATTCATGAAGAAAGCCATGACAAATGAAAATTAGCCAATTTCAGCACCCTATTGTAAATTGACTCCAAGTGTCTCAAAATGTTACGAGAATGTAGAACTGCTTCCAAGTTCATGGTACCTTTTTATTTTGTTTGATACAAGTCATCATTCATGACACAAGAAGATGAGTGCTATTTGGCAATTCTGTCTCATTACAACTGTAGGGTACATGCTCAGAGATTGAATCTGATGTTGGATATGTCAATATACAGAAAGTTAAAGACAGGCTTTATAAAGCTGGTATGCACATCAGGTACCCAATGAGGAACTTTACTCTTGTGGCAAGGCACAAAACAGCTCATCTGCAAGAACACATTCAGTGGACCAATATTCTTTTTAAGGATGAGTCACACTTCATTATGCAGTCAGATAACAGGCTTGTACTCGGTTGAAAAGAACCTATAACTTGATCCCTGTCATTTCCGTACAGGAACATGATACATGTGGTGATGGTCATATCGATCTCTACATCCTACAGAATGGTACCACTGATCCCAAACATGATATGGACCACATCCAACAATTCTCCCAGACATCAGCTTAATAAGTGGTGATACCCACCATGCTGAAATAGTTAACATGTTAATTGAAAAAAAGGATCAACTATATGGAGTAGATATATATATATATATGGCTATATATATGGAGTATATGGGATGGTTTTAAGAGATGCATCATATTCCATCAAGCAATTCCAGACACTTAAAAATTTTCTGATAATAATCTCTTTCAGAGGAGTGGCCTAGGACGACTTGCAAATGTTATCAATATTGATTGTAAGGCTGTCCTTGCTGACCATAATCCATGCTTTTAAGATATAAGATCACACTTAAAAAATTTTTCTTTATGAGCATAGGCAGAATTTCAGATCACATGACTGATTCAGTTAGATGTATAACAATGACCTGAGGGAAGGAGATGGTTGGCCTCATTTTAAACCAGTAGTTTTGTTTTGTCATAATTTAGATACTGGTTATCCTTTGTTTTCAGCAGTGTACTTTTCTATTGTTTTTGAAATCACTTTTCATAACATACTCATGCTAGTGTATCGAACTTGAATTCAAAAATTGCTTCTACGATATTAGTTTTATTCATATTGTATGCAATTTACATTTTTAGCTGCAGTAAATAACTCAAAGTGTTCAATTTCAATACTGGATTTTCGCTTTAATAACTTTGTGTTCTTGCTTTTGAAAAGATGTGTGCAAAAGACACAACACGTTGGCAACAAGTTTTCACTTGCTTTCGAGAGGCCAAGCTTAGACCCGATTCATAATTAGCTGCCAAAATTCAGAAATATATATAAACAACATTGCTAATTAGAACACTGTAGAAAGCCATCATAATGATTTTTTTCTAATTTTCTTCCCAAACATATTATTTTTTGTTTAAATAGGGCCTTAGTGTCTGTGAATAACCTATTAATGTATGCATAAGAAAGAATTAAATGTAAACCAGAGAGAAAAACATTTTCCACCAAGTACTTCTGTAGAATTACAAAATTAAAATTTTATGGTCATTATAAATTCACAGACACTACTCATTATATTTTATAAAAACAATTATACAGGCATGAAGTGGACAAGTCTGTATCATTCATTATAACTCTATGTGCATAGGCAGGGGTTAAAGTGCACATGCTATTCAACATGGTATGTATATGATGTCAGAGTTATGAACTATTAATTTTACCCTATACTGCCGATTTATGTATGGTAAATGAAATACTGGATACTGAAAAAACTGTAGATGTGCATTTCAGGAGTTCTATAAGTTATGTATATGCAAACTGTATGACAGACAAAATATTTTTATTCTTTACTTGAACATCATCTTGCACCCCAGTTTCTTATATTGATGTCTGCAATTCACAGACGTATCTGAAGTATATATACTTTTTTACATCTGAATTTTGTGTACAGCAGATTTGCACATTTGACTAAAAACTTGCAATATTTTGTGTAGACACATATAATACATTCATAATTATAGTTAACATTTCTCCAAATTTGGTTCAATTGAGGGTGACAGACCTTACAAGTACATAGATGAAAGGCTTTAGCTGCAAATATTTTATTGTGTTAAGCCCCATTTTTCATTTTCTGGGAGGGGGCTAAAGCCCATGCCTCTGTGTATTCCACATTGCAGCTGAGAATTTTTTACAGCAATAGATCAATGGAGAAATTAATATTTTCTTTTTTGTGACAGCACACAAAAACATCATTAGCCTAATAACCAATTATGATGTTAAAAGTACTGAATATGATATGAATTCTCAATTTCAGTTATGTAATTCTTTTCCCTTTATCTGAAATGGTATTGAATAGTGTGACAGATTTACCCACCATCATCCATAAGTTCATATAATAATAATAATTTTACTAAAAAAATTTGAATCATTCTAGTCAATTCAGTTATAGGATGCATTTGAAATTACATTCACACACACACACATGCAGAAATCATGTTAATTCGGAGTAATAGAAAATACTGTGGTATTAAACCACATTTGTTTTTGAATACAAAGTATTATCCTCATAAAAAAAGGTATGTTTTAAATGCCTAAAGGCCAAAAATCCGAGATAAAAATTACATTTGAAGATTTGTTTCTTTTACCTTTTTCTTAATCTATCATTAGGGTGTGTAAAAATAGCATTTCAAATCTTTTGTCTCCCACAAATCATTTCCCAAGATGCCTTTCATTCAATACAAATCTTCAGCCAATTGTTTATGCTCATACTTTGCTAGTTATAGAGTAGTTTAAATGAAAGTATTATTGTTGTTACAACATGGTTTACACTTTACAAAAGTTCATCTGATCATTCTAATGTTCAGTTTTGTTTATAAATAATTCACCTGCATGATTACGATGAACTAAAAACTTGAGACAGATACAACAATACTGTTATTTTAGTTTATTGTGAAGAATTCACATTCCAAGGTTACAACTTTATTTGGGACAAACTGATAGCACAGTACACCATCATACTAAACTTAGAATCAAACACAAATGGAAAGAAAAATATTACAGCATAATCATATTCATATGGTTTATTTATGTATAAGAATATCTATATATAATAATAAACATGAATGATATGAAACCTCAGGAGACAAACTTCTTCTGCCCAACATTAATAATTAAAGTAGAAACAGTATTTTTGAAAGTATATCCAGTCTTCAAATCTTTGCTTATTTTGTAGTTGGAAAAATATTTTCTTTGTGGTATGCCAGATGTACACACAAAATTGCTATACACTACAGTAATTCAGTACTGAACACACTGTAATTCAAGAACATGCTAAAAAATTTAAACATATTATGAATTCCAATACAACTATATATATAATGATCTGTTCTAAACTATAAATGATTTATTTTAATTAGAACACTAAAAATAAAGCAATCTAATCCAAACAAAATATTTGAGTTACAAATAATAAAAATGCATAAAAAAAAGTTGGCACCTCATTTACCCTTGTACTACAAGTATTCATGGCATTTTGCTAACATAAGTGCATCTGTTCTAATAAAATCTAATTTTTACTATTGCATCTTATTAAAAGCATAACATAAAACTTTCATAGAGAATTTAAGTTGACTTCCAAATACAGCAAAATTAGTTTGAATTAGATTCATGTGGTATCTTGTAAATCTATACGTACTAAACTGAATAGAATCATCCAGTTTTATTATATTCCTTTACGTTTCTTTTTAATACTGTATAAAAGTGATGAAGAATACTAATAACTTTAAGCAAAAAATACTTTTTTTAATAAAAAAATTATGAAAAATTCATTATAAACATAAGCCTGAAGCTGCTTAATTTAATTAGTAAACTGCTACAGATAACTTGTAGAAAATTAAACTTATGTAGCTAATTATAAATTCTAGGTATCATGTTGTGCTTAACTATTAAAAACAGTATTTTCTAGTCTGATATACCACTTACATATGTATATAAGAATATAATGATAATAAGTAATTTATTTAATGATGCTGAACTAATTAACTGATGGCACATTACAAAAGTTCATGTACAGCATTACTGAACTGTTTTTTCGTCAAAATGATAACTCAAGCAATTGATAATTTTATGATACGGAAACACTTAAGTAGCAACAAATACTGATAAGTTAGGACAAAAAGTTGAATGTATTACAACAACAAAAAGATTTATAGCAAATAGTATTTTTGTCAATAAAATGAACTTTCCTGCCGAGTTGAAATGCATTACTAAATTTCCCCTCGTGAGGATTTTTTTTTTTTTAAATAACATAAAACAATTACACTGAAACAAAAGAAAAACACTTAGAGTTTGCTAATTTCAATTCAGCAAGCTCATATTTCCATGACTTAAGAGCAATTGAAAACACTGATTAAATATTTGTCAAGCGGGGGCTTCTTTTCTTAGAAATTTAAATAGCATGTTTATTCATATTAGCAACGACAACATGGGAGATTAATACGCTTTCAAGTAAAAATTTCTTATAACTACAACATTATTAAGCTATACAGCCATAAAATTAAATTTTACCAAACTTTCTTCAAAAAGCTCTTGTCATGTCAAGTTTTTGAAAGACTTCTGTACAAAAAGTTAGTGAAAAAAATTTACATCTTGCAATTGAAAAAAAAAATTACATTCATTCTATGTCTTAAAAATAATACTATTAGGAATAATTTATTGCCTTAAACCAGGATGTACTGTGATTTGAATTTGCCTCAATTTACCTTACGTTGAACATCGACATTTCTCAAGGTAATATTAATTAAATCCTTGATTACAGAATGACTACCATAGTTTCACATATCAACTGGACAACTACATAAATAAGCAGATGTTTCTTTTTACGTAGCTACATAAAAATTTTAAATTGGAATACCACACAAGAAAAATATAAAATTCACACCTAAGATTACACAGACATATGTTTTGAAGAGTAAGTGTAATAGACACTCTTTCTGATATCCTTAAGTCTACATTAGTTTGAAACAGACAAGAGAAAGGTTTGTGACATAATTACTAAGTGAACAGGTGTTTCTAGTGGTGTGAAGCATGTGATGGTTCATTTATTCTTGCTTCAAACACTACCACAATATACTACTGAAGCACACACCTGTTCTTTGAACTGCTCACATACTGGCATATTTAATGCAATGCACTGTTTAGTGATAAAGTAGGATAAAACACAAGTCCAATACAAAAAGAAACATCAAGTTTAATTCTGTGACTCGAAATACTTGTAAGTAGGATTTTCATACCCGTTAATTTGCATGTTTGAAACATGTCGTTCCTCAGGGGTAACGGCTTGGTTTACTTCCACAAATCCTTGGCCTTGTGGTGACTGATGAGCATGGCGGCGCAAAAGAACAATTCCAACAATTAAAGCAGTCAGGAGGGCAATTCCTGCAAATGCCAAGGTGATGTAAACACTTCCATTCCATCTAAAATCTCGAATTCCTTCTTTTCGAACAGAGAATGTCTGTGAAATAGAATACATTGGCATCAGTACTTAAACTGTAGCCATCTTACAATGCAAGCTATCTTAGCATATTACATAGAACTTCATAAAAATGCAGCCAAAAATATCATTGGATCTTTTTCAGAAAATTTCACTATTTCTTTTCAACTTCAGTACTTTTTCAGTTACTTGTCTAAATAATATCATTTTTGTTACAACAAAAATTATTTTACCTCTCTTGTAAATCAATTACATTTAAAGTGACAAGAACACGTACTCAAAATCCACAAGTTTATACTCAACTTGATTTTGTTAATTTTCCCTAAAACATGCTTATACTTTAATGTTGTAAACAGACCACAATAAACTAATATTCTTAAATCCATGCATAAAATACCTATCATATCTTAACAGTATCCAGAGAAAACTAAAGCTATTGACTGGCATACTTTCAGGATAACCACAGTAATCCTTTTATGAGGAGTTTGATGATTCTTCATTTGATTTAGGCTTACTGTAATTAAACCCAAATTTCAAGTCTGTTTAGTAAACAAGGATATTTTAAACCCTGGTAGAAATTTGATGTATGCATTCTTAAGTATTAAATATGGTTGTCAGTACAAAGTTAGAATGGTTTAGAGACTTACAACTTCATTATGATGAAGAGGTTGGTTCTGAGCATGGGCTACATGTGGTTCTTGTAGGTTGTGGTGTTCTTCAGGTATTGGGACCTTATCCATTTTGGCTGTTTCCACAAATGCAGAGGAAGTAGTTTCAGAAAATAAATTCTCATCTTCTCTTGGTTTGGAGATAAACTCCTTCTCTAACTTTCCACTAATGTTCTTTTGGTGACTCTTCTCCCTCTGGTGTTCTTCAAGTACTTTTTGTTTCTCTTCTTCTTCCAACTGTTTCTGTTTCCGTTCTGAACAAGATATTTTTATGGTATTTATTTTAAATACAGCTGTTCTATCTGGAAACTTTGATAATGTCGACAATCAATAAAAATCTAAATATTTACTGATTATACAATATTTTTTTTTTAAATATAAAAACAGTGATTATTAAAAGCAGTTCTTAACACAGTTAAGGTACATTGTCTGTTTGGACCAACACTTCAAAGATCCTCTTGTTATGATTACTATTACAAACTAAGAAATGTTTGAAAGAAACAAATGAGGAAAAAATTGTCACATTTTGGAATGCTTAGGTGAACAATTTGCTGTAGTAGTACTTTCACCAAGATGAAAAACAACTGTCAATTTATCTTGTGTAACTTGGTGGGTTAAGCTTTCCTCAAAAATTGCCATAAGACAAAACAGTTGGAACATTTATTTCTTACTCTAGTAGGAACTACAATATTAACAGCTAACACTGAGTTTAACTGTTAAAGAACTATATATTAAGTTAGTAGTAGTTTTTTGTTGTTTTTTTTGCTATGCAAACAGTTATTGTGTTTAGTATACAATTTTAAAATCATAATCAATTTGATATAAATATTTAAAAAAACAATCAATTACTAACATTTCTCATTTAAAGTTCTCAGGTTCCAAAACATTAACTCCTTGTTTAAATAATACCACAGGGGCATACTTGGTACACTCACTGATTTGTATTCCCAGACTGTGTGTATCATCATCATCATGCTCAATTCAATGATATATATATGGTATGTAATGCCTTTCTTCAATATAAAATAAATAAATCAAAATTTTTGATATTCATTAAAATTTCAAATTATACCTGGTTCTTGGTGGCACAAAATGTGTTAAACCTCAAAAAGTTACAAATTATTCTACAACCAAACGTGTAATATATAACATGGGCCGAAATCACCAGCTCACAATCATTACATAATGGGTCCCTTTACGCTCAGGACTAATGTACTACACTTATGTAACTAAATATTACAACCATATATCTATAGCTTTTAAAATGCACAATATCTAAGAAAAGAAGAAGAAGAATGATCAAAGCAAGGAGTACCTCAAATCTGGTTAGGAAATCAATTCAGTTGGCAGGAAATTTTAATATGTGATTTTAAGTTTGTAATTGTTTAATGTTAGCATGAAATACATGGCTACCTTGTAGCTCACACACTGATTACTTTTTGCTGTTGCACACTTCATATCTTCTCTATATGGTTAATTTTTCTCAAATTTAATTTGCTGTTATTTTTATTCAATTTACAATCCCAGATTCAACATTTATTATGGGCTAAGAATTAAAAAAAAAGTTTGAAATAATCAAATGAAATGTAAACAACAAACAACTATCCACCTTCTTGTTTCTTCTTCACTTCAGCCTCATACTGCTGGAGAATAGTTTTGTCAGTGTCTTTTGAAAATGCAGCATCAGCTGACACTCCTTTCAAGTCTATCCAGGCAGCCACTGAAAAATTTAATAAAAAGGTTTTGGAATAAATTGAAGTACTTAGAAAATAAATCAAAACTGTATTTCAGCAAGGTCTGATGGAACTACATGTAATAGACATCCAAATATGTATGTGAAATCAATAACAACCTCCATGAATTACAAAACTTTTGCATAAGAAAGCTTTAATGGTTTTTGAACTACTGTTAATGGAATTATAACATGTTATGTTTATTTTACTTATTGTGAATTTAAAACATTGCCACAATAATTGATAGTTTTAATTCTGTTGCACTTGATTTTCACAGATTTAGACAAAGATATTTTAAAGCTGAAATTTGGAGTTTTCGGCCAAGGTGAAAAATCAAAGCACAATTTTATGACACAAGAATCAATTTTTGATTCAAAAATTAAGATACTAGATTCCTCCTATAATAACAATATTATAAGTACTTGCAAATTTACAAATCTGATGTAACTGCATGATGAGGGTTAAGTTCCATGCTGTTTACTGACAATGTTTATAAACATCCTGGATACAAGATAGTCAACTTTATGACAAAGGCAGATAGTTCATACTCATTCTTTTATGCAGCTTGTCAGCAACAGAAGGATGACGTTCCAACATTAGAATGCTCTGGTTAGCCATATGATTCAGGTTTTCAAGGTGGTCCAGTACAGCTTCTTTTTCAACTACAGCCTGGTTAAAGTTGCTATTAAGAAGATGATGGTAGTAATGTAACATGTGGTTTCTATCCTTGGCCAGAGCTCTTAACAGCTTTAACAGACACTTTTCAATTCTTCTCACCTACAAAATTCAGGTACACATAAAAAAAACATCAGAAAATGTCATTTTTATCAACAGTTAATGTTAAAAATAATAATCAGTGCTTTAAATAAAGTGCAATATTGAAAACTTACTTTTCATATACTAGAAATTTAAAAACTGTAATTTACATATAACATGTATTTAAAATTTTCTGCCATTTTCAACTTTTACAGTGCAAAAGACATCAGCTGCCATGCATCAGGAGTCACTCACATTATTTGTATTAATTTTAGGTCCTGTTTAGTTTCCACAGTGCATTGCAAAGTTCAATTAAGCCACAGTTACTTGTCAAGTAGAGGATATATATCATTTAGAATTATTTAACCCTTTAAGGACGACACACTTTTTAAACCCCTTTCTGCAAAAGACAATGAGTTACATTCAAAATTTAATTAAACAACTTTACTATCAATGTATGTCAATAAAATTAACAATATAATGTATGTTATAATTCAAAGTTTTATGTTAACTAAATTTCAATTCCATTGTTTCAAAAAAAACCTTTAAAACAAAAATTCAGCTTTGTTGTCATGTGACCCATGAGCCATGAAAAATATCAACTTTTACAGTCGCTATCTTGAGTCAGAAACACCAGTTATGTTGATGTATGTCTAGACAATAAGTATGTATGTTTCAAAGTTCTTTGGCTGAATGCAGTAAAAACAAGTAATAAATTTTGTCAATGCCTGACAGTTGCCATGCCTACCTTCTATACCTATACTTGAGCTTTAGAAGCCAACATGTAAGTACTAAACATACTTTTACAGTCATAAGAAAGACATTGATTTACACTATAATCCAACAATCTTTGGTCGTTTCTTACCTAAATATGTTATAGTTAGATAGACAATTAAATTGTATTTAGGCTTTACTTTTATATTTTAGTTAGTTATGCATTATTTGTGTTTTAAGACTGATATCTGAAAGGTTAGGCTTACATTGCGAAGCAAGTAAAAAAACATTTTGCCGGAGGCTAAAGTATCTCTGTCATTCATACCGTTCTATCACCCATAGGTAATGTTGATGTGCATCAACATAAATAATAAGCAGTAAAGGAAAGGAAAATAAAACAGCAAAATTAAACTATTAGTGAAAAGTTAAAGATGTGAAATCATACATATGACCCAAAGAAGATATTTTAAGACTATTTGTTAATTTTATACATTTCATTGCACTAATGTTGATGATACTAGCTAGAGTTAGTGATATAGCAGAGAAAATGGAAAAAAAAATTATCTTAATTTACCTTAAAAAACTTTTGATATTCATTTAGGAGTTTCTAGAGATAATGCAAATGAAATGTGAAAAGGAATAAATAATGTTCTTATACTCAAAATGAAAATCACTTTACAGGTAAACTATTTAGAGTTTGAGTGCAAAAAATATATTAACCCTTTCACATCTGGTAGGTCAAAGTGCTCATATCACAACCTTTCACAGAGTTACATTCAAAATTTAATTTAATTATTTATTATCAATATATATGAATAAACTCGGCATCAAAATGCAGTTAATAAATCAAATATAAATATTATTTAAGTTTTTAGTTCTTAATTTTGTAAGGAAATATTTTTTTAAAAAACTTCAATTTACCCTAGTATGAAAACTGACATTTGTTATCTATGTCTTGCTCTTTTTTAATTTATTTACCACCCCTTTGAGAACTTTGGAATTCAATGTAAATTACTCATTATAATATAGTTATTGCTCAGGCAAAATATCATTTTTATAAAATTCGGGGCCATAAACTATAAAATGAGACCCTCCCTGCCACATCCTCTCTTTGACAAATTGCCAATAGTTCTCTCTGAAGTTAATATTATATCATTTATAACCAATAGAAACCCAAAGTTTTGAACTATCACATGTCTTATTATGTTATGTCAGTTTTGCTTCTAGTTCAACTTTACTCCAATGGGAAAGATATTGACAAGCTTAGCTGAATTTCTAATGGCTCTTGTGGCATAGTTAGGAAGCCAGAATAATTGTGATAGTTATGAGATGGGACATATTCTGCTTTTTTGCATGCTATTATTCTGTGCTCTTTGGAGCGTTATTTAATTAAATAAAAATGTATTGCAGTACTACCAATATTATAAAAAAGTAGGGTTAAACATCATTGACAGTTGACAGCAAAAAGACAATGACCCAGGTAACTACTTTATTTCTTGTTTTTATGTGTATTCTTTATGTATTATAATAAAAGTGACTAAATTGTAAAAATTAGAACCTATTTAGGTTAGATTAGGTAAAATAAAGAATAATAATAATAAAAAATTTTCACAAGGTTCTGTCACGTACATCTGCATGTTATGTAATTCGCTAGGGTAATGTGAGCTGCACTTTAGCCATGTAATCTCCAATTTTATGCCAGAAATATTAGTTTAGACACCATTCAAAGGGCAATAAAATAATAAAAGTTAAGTATAAACAAATGTATACTGTTGAAATATTTAAGCTATTTAGAATAACCAAATCAAATTTCATGTTACAATTTGAAGTCATTCTAGAAAGAAAAAAAAGGGTAATTTAGATTTATTTCAATATTTTTGGCGGTAGTTACGAGGTCAGTCAAATTCACCAATGTCAAATAGATTTAGAATAGAGAAAATAACTGATAAAATATAAAATTTATCTGAAAAAAAAAACATTTGATAGTTATTTAGGAGATTTTGGGGATTATGCAAACAAAATTTGAAAATTTTCAGATGAAGAATATTCTTAATCTTAATATGAAAGTCACTTTGTACTAAAAGCAGTCAACATTGATACCATATAATTAAACAAAAACTTTTAGTAAAAAACCTGATTTTTTTGTTTATGAAAGACTTTTAAAGTTTACTGAAAGCTTGCCAAGTTTTGTTAAGATACAATAAATACTTTCAGAGTTTATAGTATGTATATCACCATGATTACATGGTGGTTACAAGGTTCTGTAAAATACAGGTGTCCATCTTGATAGGGTTAAATAAAGAATTTTTATTAGAATTAGTAGAAAAAAATAAAAAAATATTTTATTTATCTGAAACTACATACTTTTAAGAAAGTTCTTGTCAAATTTCAAACAATTTCATCCACTAGTTGCATTTTTCGAAAGAAATTTCATGATAGTTACATAACCTACTAGCAATGTTCATATATCGTTTTGATAGGGTTAAATATACTGTGGATGCGAAATAATGGATACTCTTACTAAAAGATATTTTTTCTAATAATCATGATTAGAAATTCATGAACATTAAGTAAAATAATGCACTGTTTAATATTACAATTAAAATGAAAGTCAAAGTTAAATTATTTTTGTAATAAATGTTAGACAAAAATCAACAAACCACTGGAGTTGTCTCATCTAAAGCCTTGATAAAACATTCCATTGAAGACTTTTTACGCAAGGTGATGACGGTCAGGACTCTCTGGTGGTGCATGGCATTTAGCTGTCTTTTCTGTCCTTCTCCCTCCTCTTCTAGTGCATCCACAGTCTTCTGAAAACGCTGTACAAATAAAATCACAATTTGAGGAATGTCTGAAAAATCACAAATAAATGTTATAGCAGACAATTTATTTATCAATTTATCAGGCTTTTGTTAAAGGTTTTGTTTACCATTATAATGAAAAACTTACTATCCTTTTTCCCAATGTCCTGTCTAACTTTTCTTTTTTGAATGTATAAAAATACAGACAAGTGTGGCTTAATTTTTTTTTTCAACCATAGTTGTTTCATATGTCATCTTCACAAAATATAGGGTCACTTTCAAAATATAGACTTAATAGGTTCACTGTGAGGTCTGAAATACTCTAATATGGGTTACAGATTCCTATTCAGTCATTTTACTTTCTCTTGTTTGCATTCAGTAAACAGATTTAACCATTTGATAAGAAATCATGGCACAAGTGCTTATGAATCATACTTCTGTCATCATCTTCTTGAAGTCTTCAGCTCCTCGTGGATCTTTCAACTTCATTTCTTGGTAATGTTTTTCCAACTCACTCCACTTTTTCATGATCTCAAGTATAAAAAAATATATCATATAAAATCTAAAAAAAAGTGAATTTTCATAATAAAAAGTTTAATACTTTTCTTTGTTGATATATATCACAACATTTTAATAATAGCATACATTTTCTCTTGTTCTTATCAATTTTAGGGACCTCTATTCAATGACAGATATAACATATAAAAGTTGTGCTTTTTAGTTTTGCTATATTGCTAGTTTTGTAAACATGTCGATTAAAATGAATAAAAAACAAACTTAATACAGCCAAAACCAAAGCATGTGCTCCCAAAAAAACAGGTTTTACATATACATAACTATTCCCCCTTAACTTTAGCAACACAAATATTAGAAGTTTAAGATAAAAATGTACACTTGTTTTTCAGTGACCAGTACATGTCCATTTTCCAACAACTGATCAGCAATAGCATTATCTATTTGTAAACCTTAAATTTATCTGGTAGCTTGTTCTACAAGTATGAATGAAAGATATTAAGAAAGAAAAAAACAAAACATGAAAGATATAAGCAAGACTGTGCAAGTCAGACAAAGGGAAATGTTAAGGTTTTAAGAGATATGTGGAACGTTTAAACATTGCAATAATTTATACAGATACTACAGTGACAACTGCCTAATCATGCCACAAGTAGCTACAAGACCATGTTTACAAAATGCACAATTAAGCAGTACTAAGTGGAATACAACATGGAAGATGAACCTTGTATAGTAATTTGGGAAATTTCTCTAGACAGTAAAAGTTACACAAACTAGTCACTGACAATATATATACACACACACAATGAATTTTTATAACTAAACATTTTCTGACAGAATGTAATAGAAAATGAAATATACAGTGTATGTTGAATTGAACATTGCACTTATAAATTACACATACAACTTTAGAAAAAAAGTAAAAGAAGAGCTGTTGACATACTTAAATAATGCCTTAAGTCCATGTGTGGTATAACCTTGGTTAAAAATATTGAGCAACAATTTCATTATAATTATAAAAAGAGCCCAAATTTCAACAAGTAATTTGTTATTATTATTCATGTTTAAAATATTTCATTAGTATATATAACACACAACACACACCCAATAATGATTTAATAGATCACTTGGAGTATAACATAAAAAAAAATTAATAAATTAATAGTAATAGCTAGAATTAAAAGAACTTTGTCATGTTGTGGTGAGCACAGAATACAATATTTTCAAGGTGAAGTTATTTATTAAATAAAAATTAGTACGTTTCAGTTTAACCTTGCAAGATGGAAAAGAAAAATATATCTGACAGATCTTAACTACAGATAGATGTCCTTCAAAATGTCTAACATTCAACTGTAGTACAAGTGTTTAAGTGATCAAGTTTTATGTAACAAATAACAATGTAAACTGCGTAAGCTAACTTTTAGAAGCTACATTTCAACTTATTAAATTTAACGCTGCATCAAAAAAACTGAAAGGTTTATTTGAAACCCAGAATCACATGTTTTATGTTGCAAGTAATTCATAACCTTTATATTTCTATGCATAATAAATATAGATATCTAGTATTTAAGTACATACATGAGTATGAATTCTAAAGCAAGCTATGAGAAGCAATGTGATGGCAATAGCTGGTAATAAAGAACCACTTACAACGGATGTTTGTGTAACTTACATTCTTAAAATATATTACAATACCTCTGTCACTTTATTTCTGTGAGATTCCTGAAGATCTTTTTGAGCTTTTTTGAAAGCCTGGTGTTCATTTTCAGTGTCAAAATTTCTATAATAATGATCAACAGGACTTTCAGTTGTCGTAGTAGTTGTGGTTGTTAATGCTTCATCTTCAAAATCATCATCATCATCTTCATAATCATCATAATATTCCTCATCTTCGTCGCTAGAAGCTTCATCTTCAACAATGTTGCTCAGTTTAGAAGATTTTTTTGGAGACAATAAATTTTCTGTTTAAAGGTCCAACTATGATTACCATGTTTCACAACATTTAAAATTTAAACATATTAAAATAGTGAAAAAAAAAATAAACATGTTAGAACACAGTAAAAAAATTTAAACTGATGTGACTGAAAATGGGTATCTCATGTTAAAATAACTTTAATGCTCACTGATTCAGTTTCTCAAGCATCAAAACCGATACTACACACATGCAAAAATTATTAAATTATACACAAGTTACCATAGTAATAACTATATCAAATAATACAAAGTTACAGCCAAACATTTTTACATTCATTGTAAAAATATAACATCCTTTTAATAATCTAACAAAATTTATAGCTAAATGTGCATGTTTCCATATGGTATATCCACCATACATACCATTTTCTGGACAGCACACAAATTCTACACCAGAAAATATGTCTACACCACAAGGTAGCAGCATTGCAAAACTCTGCAGTCTCATGCCACTTGATTCACAGGATTGGGCCGCTGTTTGGTTCCATTCATCAAAAGATTGGCAGATGCTCTGGTTATGGATGTGATCAAACAGACAATGTTCTGGCACCAGCAAAGCATCACTTTGGAAAGGACCCTCTGTTTATAAGCATAATCAGTCATTTCTTCTATCAGTTTTACTTATTGTTCAGCATTATTACAATGTACAACAATCTATCTGATATGAAGTCAAAGACAGAAGAAAATAAAAAAGTGAAAATTAAATAAAAAAATAACTTCGCATTGATCAAATTAATTTCACATTTCCCAATCATATTGTGTAAGGTTAGTTTGTTTGTAGTTAAGCACAAAGCTACACAAAGGGCTATCTGTGCTCTGCCCACCACGGGTATCGAAACCCGGTTTCTAGTGTTGTAAGTCCGCAGACATACCACTGTGCTACTGGTGGGCCTTGTGTAAGATTAGAAATAAAATTATATGTATACATTGTTTAATTTTTTAAAGACCATATTTTTTGCTTAAAATCAGATTAAACTTGTTACAAGTTACCTTTTCAAACTCTTAATACTTATCCTATTATACATGCAAAAGTTTCATTCCCAGAGTAGCAGTAAGTTAGTAATAAGTTTGTTACAAAAATGAAAATGTTAAAAAAGATAAGCTTATTTTGAGCATGAAACTTCATTATGTTTATTCTAGTAAAATTACATGGTATATCTTTCATTATGTCCAAAAACAATAATCATAAGCAATTCATTTCAATTTATATCTAAACTGGCCAATGTGAGGTAAATCACACAAGAAGTGAATATGTATACAAACTCAGGTGAAGTAGCATATTACAAATAATATTGTTGTGATGTCAAAAAATTTTGGTAAACTTTTAAAAAGTCCCAATGCTGGATATTTTTCACTGAACACCTCACTCAACAAAAACTTTTGTCTCTTGCTTCCTCTTTGATTACAAATATCTACACTAGAAATTTAGAAAACTGATGCACAGTAACTATATCTTCCTTAATTAATTTTTGCTATTAAAATTTTGATATAAAATTACAAACCCAAACATCGATAGGGTTTAACCCAGCTTGGTCCTTTACATCTTTTCTGCCCATTTTTACACCAGCTGTCAATTTTGTAATACTGACTCGACTCTACTATGTTTCGAATGTCCCTGTTTGGATAAGCCTATAAAAACAAAACAAAAAATAACTGTACTACATTATACGATATCAACTGTAAAAGCTTAAAACTAAGATAATATTACGTTAGGGATACTAACAACAAAAAAAGCAAACAATTGTAATCAGGATATTACACTTCCCTTGTGTGAAAGTCACCTTTAACGAAACTTTTATCAGTAGACATGTACATAATTCTACTTAACTTCCCACTTGATTTGCAGCCTTATGTCCTTCATAATAATCTTGCTGTAAAATACATACTAAACCAGTGACACTTCTACATGTACATCAATCTTCTCAGTCTAAAATAATTGTATCAATTATGATATTTACCACTTCTGCTACAGTCCAGAAAACACTTCTATTATAGCAGTTAATGACTTACACACAACAAAAATGACATTGGTAAAATTTTTTTTTCATCTATAATTTGAATGAGAAAGATAATATACTGGGTCTTCAACAACTTAAATACTTGATGCATAAAAATTCAAATTTTCATAACCTGTTGATATAATTCACACACACATCATCACTACATTTTTCTATAAATCTAATACATCAACTTAATCTCTAAACTATTTGTAACTGATACTACCTTAGTGCTGTAATTCAATATTTTTTATGACCCTAATACAAGGTTTTGTTTCTAACAAAGTATGAGACTAATACTTTCAATGTTGAGTAAATTGTATACTAAAAGTTACAGGTAAGATAAAAATTTAAAAATTTAGTTGAACCACACCATTGGTGCATAGCTCCTTGGAAAATCTTATTTCTTTTCATTTAATTATCAAGTTTTTAAACAATAAAACAACTAACAACATCATACAAAAAAGTATCTATTGTAGAATACAATGTATAAATATAAGAAAAAAAAAGTACATACTATCTATATTTCCTCTACAGCTTTCATTTAGTCAGCCACTATGTCAAAATTAACTAAAAAGTCTTATGCCAACACTGGAAAAATCTAACTCGCACTAAAAATGTTGAAAGAAAACTGTACAGCTGTTTTATTGTACACAATACAACATAAATGAGTGACCTTTACAAGATCCATTTACAACACTGGAATAACTAAGATAAAGATGATTTATGACTGCAAACCTATTTTTAAAGGTTAATATTGCAATTGTTAATAAACTATAAATACACATACACATATATATATATATTGTCTTTCAGCATAACTAAATAAATGATTCGTCTTTTAACTCTTTCAACCCAGGCTTGGTCCCTTGGACAAACCTTGTAACCATTTTGTGCTATAACTTTTAATTTAGTAAGCAAATGTTAATGTAATTTGGCAGCTTATCAGTAAACATTACAATGTTTTGATACCCAAAACA